GTTCCTAAAGTATTTGCTCTACTCATCTTGGGAACAGAAGCTTTTTGACTAGGAATCAGAATCACTGGTACTAAAATCTGAAATATTTTTAGATTTTGCATGATGATCAAAGAAGAACTAATACAGTGGCTACAGTAACTCATTTGAATGCATCTATGATAGATTGATTGCAAAATAGGGCCCTAATTTTTCCCCTCCCTGTATTCACATCCTTTGGGATGTGGCTTTACAGCAATTCTCCATGAAGAAGTGGAGCCTATCCCTTAACCTCTTGACTCTGGGCTGGTTTGACCCTTAGGATGTGGCAGAAATGACCCTGTGACAATTCTGAGTCTAGGCCTCAAGAGTTCTTGCATGTTTCTGCTCATCCTCTTAGAATCCTGCAACTACATGTGAACAAGCCCAAGCCAGCTTGCTGGAAGAGGAAAGACCACATGGAACAGGGCTGAGTTATCTCAGCCAGGACCATCCTAGACCACCCTGACCTTAGTTGACCCCTCAGACGTACCTACAGATGTACGAGAAAGCCTCACCAAAATCAACAGAGTCTGGACCAGATCACTAAACCACCCAGCCAATCCGTAGACTTTTGAAAAATTATACATAGTTTTAATAGTTGTTTTCACCCAATAAGTTTCGGGGCAATTTGTTACATTGTAACAGCTTGCAGATACCATTCCTCCAAGAGGCCCAGGTTCAACAAAAATTTAAAACAATATAGCGGTTTGTTGACTATTAAAAATATGAAACAAAAATATTGAGGACACACTGTGAAATCAAGGAAGGCTTTGTTCAATACTCCACCAGTGGTCAGACTATGAGAGACAGAGAGGGTATTCACAAACAGCAACTCTTCTTAGATTCTTTTGCATACCGGGTTCACGAATAAAAAGCATTTACATAAGAGAGTGAGAATTCACCAGTGGTTCTCAAACAGGGGTGAATTTCTTACCCAGGGGATGTTAGGTAATGTCTTGGAGACTGCAAGTGTTGAAGAAGGAAGAAAGAAACATGAAAAGTGGCTTAACAGTCAGAGACAGGTTTATTTTAAAGAATAAACCTGAGAGGGGCTTCTGGCTGAGTTAGGTTAGGAGCACTCTTTTTTTTTCCTTTAAGTTCCAGGATACATGTGCAGGTTTGTTACATAGGTATACATGTGCCATGGTGGGCACTTAACAACCTATCATCTAGGTTTTAAGCCCTGTATACATTAGGTGTTTGTCTTAATGAGGAGCACTCTTTTCTACAGACTAAGAGTATTTAAGGGTTTAGGGTGATAGAGTTTATCACAAGCTTGAAATGTTTCTGTGTCTCTTTGTCTTGCTTATCTGGGAGGGAGAATTTTTGTGTCTGTTCCCATACATTTTCCTGCAGCTGCAGGCATATCCCCCAAGTCTGCTTTTAGCTTCCCTATCTTAGTGCATCTAAAGGGAAAGGAATATGCTATTAAGGCCCACTGTTTTACTGGAGCCTATTATATGAGTGTGAAGTTTGGTGGTTACCCAAGAGACTTTTCCCCCTCCCTCTGTGTCTGAGCTGTCTTATCTGTGTTTTACTGTCTGCCTTTTCTGGCTGCTTGTTGTTAGAAGGGAGGTGATTTCCTTGAAATGCATGAGGTTAGAAAGGGAGCTGGAACTTAAAATGGCAGTGTTTGTCCAAGAGGGCGGTGCTTCTGCTGTCAGAGACATTTTTGGTTGTCACAACCTGGAAGGGGATGTACTAACATCTAGGGGGTAAGGGTAAGGGGTGGTGCTCAACACCCTACAACAGAGGACAGCCCCCACAACAAAGACTTACCCGACTCCAAATGTGGACAGTGATGCAGCTGCACCCCCTTGTCTATACCCTGCTGGGGTACTCACCAATGTGCTGTTAAGGTGGAGGGTGTCAGTGAGAACCACGTCAGTCTCCCAGTTCTTGACTTTGAGGAAGCGTGGACACTTGGAGGGGCTGCCATTCTTTGTGGGGGACTGTTTTCCTGAGGCAGGGGGCTGGAGGAGAGAATGAAGGTGGAAGATGAGGCAGGGCCTTGAGTGGACTGTAACATTGTCTCCACGGAGGCTGGGAGAGCCATTGTTCTTCCTGGGATCTGCCTTGAGTCACCAACTGTCTATATCCAGAGTAAGATCCAGCCCTCCCTGGTTGACATGTACAGGGTTCCTGGGAACCTGATTTCCCCACTTACGTGGAAAGAAACACCATGGAAGAGCCTCTTGGGTTCTGCTCTGGGGAGAGGGATCAGGAACTCAAAGGTGGTCTCTCTGGTTCAATAGGGTCTGACACACTGAGTAAGGACTCGGTGAACATTTGTTGAATGAACACATGACTGAAAGGACACCATCAGCCTCTTTGAATGATAATAGCCCCTAGCACCAAGGAATCAAACCTAAAGCTGGGTCGATTTACTTGGATTTCTAGGCCTTTCTGTGACAGTCCAAACTCACCATTTCTGGCAAGGACTGAGAAAACAAAGATTTAAACTGAAAAATTTTGGGCCATGCACAGTGGTTCACACCTGTAATCCTGGCACTTTGGGAGCCTGAGGCAGGCGGATCACTTGAGATCAGAAATTCGAGATCAGCCTGGCCAACTTGGTGAAACCTCGTCTCTATTAAAAAATACAAAAATTAGCCGGGCGTGGTAGCGCATGCCTGTAATCTCAGCTACTTGGGAGGCTGAGGCGAGGCAGGAGAATCGCTTGAATCCGGGAGGCAGAGGTTGCAGTGAGCCAAGATCACATCACTGCACTCCAGCCTGGGAGACAGAATAAGACTCCATCTCAGAAAAATAATAATGAAATAAAATAAAATAAAATAAATGAAAAAATTTGAGGCAAAGAATATTGCCCCCAAATTTCTGGTTTCTGACTTTTAAAACTTCCAGGCTCATTCCTGCCTCCGGGCCTTTGCACTTACCGTCCCCTCTGTCTTGAACACCTACATGGAAAGAAGCCATGGAAGAGCCTGTTTATGGGGAACTTTAGTCCCCCATTTGTCTTCACTCTGCAAACAATTTGACCAGCAGGTGAGTGGGGATAAGTCTCAGGCTGACCAGTGTTGGCCCATTCATTTTAGACCTCACTGATAAGGATTACATCTGTCTTTTTTTTTTTTTTTTAGACAGGGTCTCGCTCTGTCACACAGGCTGGAGTACAGTGGTGCAATCATAGCTCACTGTAGACTTGACTTCCTAGGCTCAAGCGATCCTCCCACCTCACCCTCCCAAGTAGCTGGGACTACAGGTGCATGCCACCATGCCCAGCTATTTTTTTGTATTTTTTGTAGATACAGGGGTCTTACTATGTTGCCCAGGCTGGTCTTGAACTCCTAGACTCAAGTAATCCTCCTGCCTCAGCCTCCCAAAGTGTTGGGATTACAGGTGTGAGCCATCGCACCTGGCCTAGGATCACATCTGTCTTGGATGCTCCTGGGTTATTGTCTACCTGCCTGGGCACAGGCACACACATGCATCAGGCAAGCATTGGTCACTTAGTAACTCTAAGGGAGAGGCAGCAGGCGCACCCTGATGCGAAAGCCAAGCAAGGTCAGGGAGAAGATGAGCCAATGTTAAGTGACACTCATGCAAAGAGTATATCAGTGCACAGTGACCTTAAGGCAGGGTATTCATACATTCAACTAGTATTTATTGAGCACCTATTATAATACATGCTCAATAAATAGGCACTGGGGATTCAGCAGTGAAGAAGACAGACAGGGACCTTGCTCTCTGAAGTGTTATGTGGTGGAGGTGGAGATAAACAGTAAGTAAACTAACATAGGATCAGCATAATTCCAGGTGATGATAAGAATAGAAAATGGGGAGGTGACTGTAACTAACCGGAGGGGAGAAGGGCAAGTGCAAAGGCACTGATGTGGGAATGAGCTTGTTAAGTTCAAAGGACCAGCAAGGAGGTTGACTGTGGCTGCAGTGTATGCATGAGGGCAAGTGTAAGGAGATAAAATCAGAAAGGAGGCAGGGCACCCATCTCACTGACTTGGAGGAGCTCAGGCTGGTGAAGGTAGCTGTGAATTATGATTAAAGGTGCTAAGTCCAGGATAGAAGTCACAAAGAACTGCGAAGGACTAATACTGATAACTAACATTAAATGAGCACTTATTATGTGCCAAGCAACAACCTTATTATCCCCATTTTACAGATTAGGAAACTGAGGCACAGAGAGGTTAAGTTGCCCAAGATCGCAGAGCTAATAAGCTGAAGAAAGGAGTCCAATCCAGGCAGTCTGGCTATCAAACCATGTCCTTAACAGCTTGACTATCCTGCCTCTTGGCCATTAGGAATAATTCATTCATTTAACACGTTTATTGAGTAGTTCCTATGTGCCAGGTGAGGCAGCAGAGACCAAGACCATAGGACAAACTAGATGGATGTGAGCTCCCACGGAGTCACAGTCCTGTAGGAGGTGATGAAAACTGAATGAGCCATGGCAATCGATTTAGCACAATGGATGCCATTACATGGGACCTTGGCAGCACAGGGGAGGTGGGAGCGCATAGAAGAGACATCTAACCTCTAGATTAAGACCAAAAGATGAGTACGTCCTAGACAGGCAAAGAAGAGGAAGCAAGGTCTTACAAGCAGAGAGAACAGATCATGCAAAGGTCCTAAGTTAAGAGAACTATCATGGCCACCTTCGCAGCCAGTGGAATAAGAGTTCTGTGTTGAAGCGTTCATGGCACCATGGTGGAGCCTGGGGAACAGGAGGTGGGGGAAGAGTGGGCCACTGTTAAAGATCGCTCCGGAAGAGTGCAGGCTGTGGCAGCACAGGGAACCCACGGAAGGTGATAGGATTCATAATCTTCCTCGTCTCCCCGCCCTGGCCAGATCTGGTCCTCCTCAGTGCTGGGCGCTACCAACCATCCGTGCTGGACACGCCACACGTGGGAGCTATCTTAGTCATCAGCCTCTTCTCTATCTCCCACACCCAACTCATCACTGGTGATCACCCATCTTAGCTTTTTAACTAGCTCCAGAATCCATTCACTCCTCTCCCCTTCCACTGGCCAGCGCCCTGACCAAGTCATCTCTTACTTGGATGATCAGTCACCCCCTAAATGTTAGCCATTATTTATTATTATAAATGTTATTATTATGTGACCACTAGCTCAACTTATAGTATTAGAAGTATTAGTATTACTAGTAGTACTGCAATGCTTCTGCAAGCATTATTACTTGTATTATTACTACTTATATTATTACTTGTATTACTATTATTACTTACATTATTACCTATATTATTATTACTTGTATTATTATTATTAGTACTTCTGCAAGTATTATCACCACACTACCACACTCGGAGCATGATAAAGGTTTGGATGAGTTCTTCCCTTTGTTTCTCATTGATAGTTTCTGTCTCAGTTATTGTGCCCATGTTTCCTTAGGAATCTGCATACAAACAACCCCGCTTTGTTCAAAGGCCTGACCAGGCACCCTAAACACTTCTTTAGGATCCTGTCTCCCCTCCTGTCTCTTCCAGGAGGAGTTTTGGAGGTGATGAAAGTCACATCTGGGCAGGGCTTTGTAGTAAACACATTCCTCTGATCATGCCGACAACCTGTATCATTGAGGAAAAAAAAATCCTACCTTGCGCAGAGGAAGGCACCCCAGCCATTCTCCCTACACACCCGGTTTCAGATGTGGTGATGACATCGGGTCTGGGCCCAGGACTCAGAGGGTGGGGGGCCAGGCATGAGGAGGAGGAGCAGGGTGCGGCCTGTGGGCAGCAGCCGACAGTCTTCATCGCCAGGGAGTGGGAGGAACGAGATAACAGGACTAATAAAAGAGGCCATCTGTGGAGGTCCCAGATGTGTGAGGGGTGGTCGCTAAGAGTCAAGTAGTTGGCTGCCCGAGTGTGAGCCGTGCCCCCCTCCACCCTGGGTTTCACTGGATTGCACACTTGAAACCAGGCATTAGGAGGCTTCTGGCAGGGCTGTTGTACTTGGCGCTTTGATGTTTTAATTAGCCAGCAGCAATATTAGATGACTCAGGAAGGGAGAAACGGGGAGATTAATATAGCAGTCAGGGGCCCTGCATGCAGGATGCAAATGACTTTTCTGAGTGGGCACCAAAGTTCTCCTGGTCAAAATGCAGATTAGCAGCACTTGCGAGTTATTACGGTGGGCACAGGGCACACGTGGGCATTGGACTGTGGCTACATACATCCTTTTCTGGCTTTACGTCTGCGGTGGGGACAATGGAAGCTTTTAAGTGGGAGGAGACATGGCTCACTCTTTGTGGACCCTGGGACACCTGCCCCTAAGTGTGCAAAGGAGGCCATGAGCTCATGGGCATTTTCATAGCCTTGTCAACACCTCTTTGCCTAGGAAGCTTGCAGAGGTCCTGAAGGAATGAAAGGAAATGGTCCTGCAGCCAGGCTCAAAAGGAGGCAGGGAGGTGTAGTCATGTCAGCCTGGGCTCTGGAGCTGAGAACGCCACTTCCAAGGTCTGCTGAAGCTCTGATTCCTTTTCCCCCTCTCTCTTTTCCTCCCTTCTTTCTCCCTTTCAACAAGTGCATATTGAGCACCTACTGTATTTTGGGGACAAGTATTCTAGGACTCAGCAGCCGTTGAATGACTCTCATTCCACAACTGGGAAAAGCATCTTACAGCTGCTTCTTCTAAAGCAGAGATGCGCAGACGGCGTGGCCCACTGTCTGTTTTTGTACAGCTCCTGAGCTAAGAAGGATTTTTTC